TATCATATTAATTATATTTTAATTTATAATAAATAATTTATATTATAATAAAAAAATCGTTATAACCATTGATAATTTAATTTAAAATACATTAAAATTTAATTCAGAATTAAAAATAAAAAATTAAATGAAAGTTTCTAGAAACTATCCTTCGAGATAAATTAATGTTTTGTAAAGATTTTTTTTAATGTTACTTTAGTTTTTTTTAATAAAAGTTTTTTAAAATAATTTTAATCTCTTATTTCTTTAAATTTTATTATTTTATTTTTAATTATAAATATACTAATATTTTAACTTATTCAAGCTACAAATTAAATATTTATTATATATCTAAAATTTATAATAAATTATATATACAAATAAATATTATATATGTTTAGAAACTTTTCATTCAACAGGACCATTTTAATTTTGTTTAACTTTTCATACCATATCATTTAATTTATTATTTTATTTTTATTTCCAAATTAAATTTTATTTTTAAAAATTTAAGTTTACTATCTTTAATTAAATAACTCTAAAAATTTTAAATTATTAAATGAACGCTTATATGCAAATGTTTATAAAAGGATTTCTTTTAAATTAATTTTTAAAAATTCTTTTAATTTATATTTAATTTAATTTTTATTTATTATAATTATTTATAAATCTCATATATGGAAATGTAATATTTATTTGTATACATAATTTATTAATAATATCTTATTTTTATCGATAAAAATAATATTCCTAAGATATTCTTAAAAATATACTACGTAATTCTTAAATATTGTAGCTTGAAAGTTGAAACAAATATTCTATTCTATGCAAAATTTTGGAACAAAAAGAATAGGCAATATAGGCCGGGTTTCCGTGAAATTAAAGCATGCTTTATTACAAACTTATGACACGTGTCTCTATTTGATAGGACGCTTGGTTTAACCGACATTGCCCTAACCTTAATATCTACAGCTGTCTAATGCGCCTTCTCAACTTAATATGCAGGCATAGCATATTCCCCACAAAAGAACCTTATATTCGCCAGGGGAACCTATCTTCTACGCCCGCTTCCACACTAACTCTCTTTTTAGCACAAAAACACACTCACCCATCACCGTTCCTCTCAATTCAACCTCGCCAAACACGATATAGCCCTGCAACCCACCTCACCGCATAAAACCCTTGCCGTTTTGACTCTCCTCGTGAACCCACCCCATCTATACGTCATCGTTTCGGTAGAGCCGGACCCAAAAACGACGTCGCGGACCTGAGAAAATTGCAGAAGAACGTTCCTTGTTTGAAATTTGGCAGAGCGAAAACAAAGTGGAAAAAGAAGCAGAGAAAGAGAATAAATGCTCGATTCACTGTTGCGAGTCCTGATAGTGGTTCAATTCGGTTAGAGAAAGTGGTGAAGGAGAAAATAGGAAAGGGGAAGAATCGGAACTCGGAGATGCAAATGGAAGCTAGGGTTGGTGTGGCAGTTGACGGTGGTGGTGTACGAAAGTTGGTGCAACCGCCGCCGCAGCAGATTGGGACTGTTTCGCAGCTTCTCGCCGGAGGAGTCGCCGGCGCGTTAAGCAAGACGTTTACGGCGCCGCTTGCCAGACTCACCATCCTCTTTCAGGTTTCGGATTTTTAATTTCATCCCAATTTTATAAAAAAAAAATAAACAAATTGTTTCTTCTGCGTTTTGGTTTTAGAGTATGCAATTGGAATATTGAAATTAAAATTGGAAACAACAAAGAATGAGAGAGTGAGGGTTTGGATTTAGATTATGATTCTGTTAAACCTTGCTTTTTATGGAATTGTTTTCAGGTTCAGGGAATGCATTCCAACGTTGCGACTTTGAGAAAAGCCAGCATATGGTCTGAGGCTTCTCGAATTATCCATGAAGAGGGGTTTAGGGCTTTCTGGAAAGGGAATCTGGTTACCATTGCTCACCGCTTACCTTATTCTTCGGTTAATTTTTACTCGTACGAGCACTATAAGAAGGTGAGGTTGTTGATGCTATGAGATGTTTGTTTTCTTTTGATTATGTTGTTGACAAGTAAGAAATTTGCATTTTGTTTTAGTATTCGCTTGTTCTCAGATTGATTTGTGTTTGATGGTATTTTGTATGAGCAGTTGCTAAAGATGGTTCCGGGACTACAAAGTCATAGGGATAATGTTAGTGCAGACCTTTGCGTACATTTTGTTGGTGGTGGCCTGGCAGGAATAACCGCTGCTACATCTACTTATCCTTTGGATCTTGTAAGAACGCGGCTTGCTGCACAGGTAAGGTCAAATGTGGTTGTTTTGTTTTGTGTAGCCCTTTCCTGCCATTGCACCCATGCATTTTGATGAGTATTATCTTCCATTGATATGTGCCTGAGTTGCCATGTAGGTCAACTTATTTTTGACCCCATCCCTTCCTCCATTATAATTAATTTTGAAATCAGATCATCTGCCGGAGATGTCTGCTTAAATTTGATGAACTGTTCATGCACAGCTGGTGGTTAAAAGTTCTTGCATTTGTATTTAATTCTTAATTCCTAACAATTAGCATTGTTAAAAATTTGCAGACAAATTTTACCTACTACAGAGGTATCTGGCATGCTTTACAAACAATTACCAAGGAAGAAGGAATATTTGGTCTGTATAAGGGACTTGGAACTACACTCTTGGTACGGTGTTATTATCAATTGAACATTATTTGAAGACTATCCTTTTGTGTCTAATGAGCTACATCTCTGCTAATAATGCAGACAGTAGGGCCAAGTATAGCTATCAGCTTCTCTGTGTATGAAACCTTGAGATCTTTTTGGCAGTCAAATAGGTAATCAGTCCACAAATTAATTCAGCTGTTTGATGTACCCTCTAATATTTCTTTAATTTCATGTGTAATCACAGTTAGTATTATATTAATATACTTATTACTTATCTATACACATCAGACCCGATGATTCAACTGTTGCTGTTAGTCTGGCATGCGGCAGTCTTTCAGGCATTGCATCATCAACAGGTGAGCAGTCAAAAGGCAGACTTGTTACTTGCATTTTTGTCGTTCCTTCTCATATAAATATTCTTGATAACTTTTGATGTTCCTTGTCAGATAAGTAGTATTGATAATTTGCTTTTTGAGTTCCTTCCAAATGGTGTTATGCACATTCTTTTGGTATTTTACCTTTTTCCTACATCTGTTTGGCATCAGCGCACTCATTTTAGTTTTGTTGTATCAAATGCTCAATAGATGTTCAATTACAGTTAAGAATCCTTTAGTCAAGCTATTGAATTTGCTCAACCCAAGAACATCAAAGAAGTTAATGTCTGTAGTGGTTTACTATGCTTTTGATGCAGAGAAAGAGAGTTTGGTGCAGGAACTGCACCAAGTATCTAACCAGACTGACCCCTAGAACCAGACGCCAGGTTGGAGTTATTTTATCTGGCACATGACAATTTTTAGTAAGGAAGATAACAAAAAGACCCTTTTCTTGTCTCTCTAACTTTATTTTTGTCTAAAGATCTTGCTCAAGTAATCGTCTTCCCAAGTTTTGTTCTATGACATGTCTCCCCAAGCTATGCAGTGGATTCCATCATGGGGTGGCATTTCTTGGATGAACCTATTTGATTCCCTCAGTTACCAAATGTGAGAGGTGTCCTCTTTGAGGTATGCTTCTCACTTAGGCTACCTTCACCTGATGTTTGGAAGGGTACCCGAATCCTTTTCAGACCTTGTTGATGTGTTTCTGAAGAATCTGTTCTTGCTGCTTTAATAGTATTAATTTCGGCTATGGAACAAGTTATGGTAACAAATTATAATATAATTGTTTATGATAGAAGACAAGTAAGTTGATAAATGAAATTCAATTTGTCAACAAAGAACTACTGTTCTTTACATGCGAGAAAACGAAATCTTAACGATTGGGGGATGGATATTTTGTTTGCCAAAACTGTATTATACCGATAGAGACTAACCACATGCATCCAAAATATTCATGCATACAAAACTTTATTATTGCCCTTTTATCAATTGTGTCAATAAAGGTTTTCTGCTCCTCTGTTACATCAATTGTATGTTCAGGTAAGGCTGTGTTTTACTTAGACCCTTACCTCGATGCTAATTCTAGATACAGGTAATTCCAATTTTACATGTTTGGATTTATTAAGTGCTGCAGCTACCATGTTACAATAAACTTGTGCATCCATAAATTTCTTGTTTCAGTTTATCATCAATTCAGTAGAGCTGCATGGTATCAATAATATGTTTACCGCAGTTATTCTTTAGAATAGCCTGTGATGCTGAAGTGCAGGTTTGCAACTTTGTCCAAGACACAAGATCACTACAATAAAAACTCTTATTATAGTTGATTTTGATCTCATTTCTTGCTTTGGAATTGTTTGCGCTTCAGTCGACTAATCATCTTACCTCCTTTGATGATGCACTGTCATGTCACAGATTAACGATCTAATGTAAAATTGAGTTTCTGTTGACTAGCATGGGTATAGTTCAATTCATCTGTTATCCTATATGCAGCAACGTTCCCCTTGGATCTTGTGAGGCGGAGGAAGCAACTTGAGGGGGCTGGTGGGCGAGCACGTGTGTATACAACAGGTATCTATGGTATGTTTAGGCACATAATCCGGACAGAAGGCATGAGTGGTCTTTACAGAGGAATTTTGCCAGAATATTACAAGGTGGTGCCTGGTGTAGGTATTTGTTTTATGACTTATGAGACGTTGAAGATGCTTTTAGCAGATGTTGCCACTGCTTAGTTACACCCATCAGCTTTGGAGTCTGACATACAACAAGTAAATGGATGAAGTTATTTACCCATACAAAAAGGGTTAGAGTATTACATTTACAATTTACCAATCCAGGTTCATTTTATTTCACGGGTCCTCACGTGGGCAATTTTGTGATGTTCCCGTGGGGATTGCATTTTTACATGTACAGATACTTGCATAACATTTAATGTTAAGCTGTTATGGTCATGTATTCTCGCGGTCTACTTAATGCTTATCTTCGCTCACACTCAGAAAAAGGGGGAAATGGAATGAACTAAAAACCTGCAACTGGATCCTGATGACTAGGGATGGCAACGGGGCGGGTACGGGTTTTATGATACCCGTCCCCGTCCCCGCGAGTCAAATC